TCATCGCAAAGATCAGATGTGATTGCAAAGATCAGGTGTAATGGCAAAGTTCAGATATAATTGTGCATAGCAGCAATACACCATGTACAAATGCTGGTGCTTTAATGTATTTAGGCTAATATCGGTGCTGGCCACGTATGAATGCAGATGAACTAGCATTACATACTAACTTTAATGGAAATCAAGAAATCCTCTGCTCCGTGAAAGTCCACGAGCATCACAAGAAGAGCTGGTGAGGACAGGTTGGTTGACGATTTGATCCATCATGTAGCAAATTTGAGAAAAAAAACCTTCGAATGAATCTCACGTTCCGGTGCAAATTCGGTCCCTACTAGGTCTCCGAGCTCCTTAATGAACGAGTACCCGACTGATTTGTTGATACATGTAACAAAACTGTCACTTTTGGCTTCCACTGTTGATTTCTCACAAATAACTACGTAATAATAAAAATACATTGATATAACGCTACGTTATATCGAACATAAAAACCAATGTATTCTCACAGGTCGAGTCACGAAGTTACAAATGTCAATTTTGTTCACGTTGCAGCGTCATTGAACATGTCTATGCAAATTTGATTCAATGGAAAAAATACACGTGAATTATGCACAGTTTGATATACCTTTTCAAAATAGTAAATTTCAACCCATATAAATTAAGTTTTTTTTTTTTTTTATCTTAATTAAGGAGACTTTCAGCCGTTGGCTGGCTCGTCTCCGATATAAATTAAGTTCTTACAAATGATTACGTCCCACCAGTTTCCTAGCGCATACATTTTTAGATTTTGTTTTTTTAATCTAAATTTACGGTATATAGGAGCAAAAGTTACTTTATATTGTATCATCGATGCTACGTTATATCCATAAAACCAAAATTGCTACTTGGGCAATCATCGTAGTTGAGCCTTTAGGATTCTAAACGCTACACATATGCGTTGCGCTGTTTGGTTCAACGGATGATGATTATGCATAAATTTTATCATTACCGGCTATGGTAGACCGAAAAAACCTCTGCATCTCCATATAAACTGTGGGAAGGGGATTTATGTAAGTGGAAAAGAATAAGGATTCACCATGATCCTCTAACACTAACAATTCCACAATAAGAAGGAGCTTGAGATTGAACCCATTATCTTCTGCTCAGTAAGTAAAAACGGTCACCACTAGGCCTCTGAGCTCTTTGTATTACAAACACGATTGTAATCGAGTCTTTGGTCGAGTTGATGTTATTGGAGGTAGTGGCGTCAAGGAAATAACAAATCTTATCTTTTAACCGTGAATATCACTTTTCTTCGATATGGGGAATACGGGGAAAGACTAACCACAGTCAGTTCTTTATGAAATCCTCAATATTCTTGATATTTTTCAATACAAAATAGATCAACATTATGTTTTTACAATTCTGAAACACCTTGTAGCTCTCGAACATAAAAATGTAAAAACAAACAATAAAACAAAACTTTTCGATCATTGGGAATTTTCACGATCTTATTTTGACTGCAATGCATCTAAGGATTTTTGGTGAAAAAACTGTGTTTTCTCACATTTTGTTGGAATCGGTACCACTCATCAGGCTGTACTTTTTCTGTATCTATTGATGAAGGTATGTAAAATGTGATAAACATGAGAAAATATACAAATTACTAAAAATGTGAATGGGTAAGATGGACCACATTTGACGCTACCTTTCTTATTTTGTAGTGCTTTTGATTGAAACTGAAATGATTTTCGATTTTCTTATTGATTTAAATTTTGATGAAAACAAAATTAATTTTCTTTGCTCCCAGAACATGTCCAATGTGGTCCTTCTTACATAATATATCCACCAATGACAATGTTTTAGAATTCTCGTGTGACTTTACGTGCCACATGATGGGTTTTGATTTAATATGATTTTGACCACTTTTCCGAGGGTACCCTAAATATGACCAGGAGTAGCCAATGTGGTTCTGGACACTCACTATTGTTCCCATTGATCATATTTTAAAATTTTAATGCGATTTGATGTCTCGCAATATGACATGGTAACGTTTTTGACCATTTATAAACCTGCGCTTACCGGACCTCTGCTCACCGGAAACTGTTCCGGTTATATCTCCGAAACCAGTTAACTGATCTCAAAGACATCCAATTGCGATTTATGTGACCATAACACCTATCATTTGGTAAATACTTGTGGCGTCCAACTTGATGCAGTGGTTGCCGAAACATCCGTCATGGTCCGTCTTACCCCGTTAGTGATCCTTCTTACCCCGACTGTTAAAAAATGAGTATGTTCAAAAAATGGATGAAAGAACATAAAAAATGTTATAAAGCAGACAGTTTTATTATTTTTATCCATATTTATTATTTTTATTTTTATCCATGAACCCTAATTAATATGTAGCATACAAAATTGTGAAATGTCTTGCTCATTTTGAGCTACTAAATTTATTGCTTACGGTGACGATCGTACCCCGTCTTCGCCTACAAATTCCGACCCAGGAGGAACGAGACTCATTCGGATGCAGTTTATTTCAAAAAACACTTGGCAGCGCTTCTATGTGTAGAATAGATCGGAATAGACAAAAGGATAAACATGGATGTTCAGGATATCGTGTAGAAAAGAGATGTCTGGAATAGAAAAAAAAACTGTTTTCATTGATGTTGATGAGAATGCGGATTTGAGGATATATGAGATATGTGGATTGATTATGGATGAAGATGTGTCCTGCTCCGACTGAAATATATTTCGGTTTGTAGCGATTTTCTACAAAACAGGAGTCAAGAGTGTGGAATACAACTATCCACGGGTGCCGTGCTCTATACGTTTGCAGAAAATCTACAAAGTCTTCATCCATGTTCTCATTGAACGCGCATCTCATGACAGCACATCACAATCTTCACGGTATCTTAGATAAAACATGCCCACTTAGAATTGGAACAACATCATTTGGGTCTGTTTCGGATTTGAATTAACGGTGCAAGTGATAAATAATAAAATACGATAAATAAATACGAAATGAATTATTCGTCGTGATTTCGAAGGAACTCTTGAACTTTTCCCTTAATATACACACTACTAAAAAGTCATGTAAATTTCGGTTCCCTGAGACCGACACATGTAAGCGGGCCTTTTGACATAAGAATCAGTTGAAAGAATCGTGAAAATCAATTCAATCAAACGTTCTCTTCGTCGAATAGCTGATTTTTCGGTTTGAGAACACTTAATTTTACATGAAATGTTTGTTTACGTTCTATGATTTACGTCCAATATGGATTACGTCTCGTGTAAAAGCAGTTATTTCTAAGTGTGTAGCCCATAAAGCGGCGCACAACGGTCTCGTCCACTGTTTTAGTGATTTCATCCCACCAATTTTTCATCTGAGCTGCCGTTTTGATGACTGTACCTTTTACCTTCAGTTTCCTATTCATAATTGCCCAGTAGTTTTCAATGGGTCTGAACTGGGGACAATTGTGCAGATTGAGGGTATTCGGAACAAACTGGAGTCTACTGTCATTGTACCATTGTTGTGCTTCCCGGCTGTAGTGACTCTCAAGATCCGTCCAAAATGTCACCGGACCATTATGTGACTGGATGAAGGACAGAATTCGCTTCTGGAGACATTCGGTTTTTTAAACCTTCGAGCTCATCATTTTCTTAGTGACGAAAACCTTTGTCTTCTGGCGGCAGCTCGCCAAATTCCCTGCCAGATCATATATTTGCAGCCGGCGCCGGTGGTGTAGTGGTAAGCGTGACTGCTTTCTAACACCCCGATGGGTCTGGGTTCAATCCCAGCCGAGGTCGGTGGGATTTTTCTGAGGCATAAACATCTCTGGTCACGTCTTCCTTCGGAAGAGGAAGTAAAGCCGTTGGTCCCGGCCCATGTGTTGAATGGGTGCGATATCCTACGCAGGTGTGGAAGCTGCCTTCCTGCACATTCGATTGCCGTCAATGGATGGCAATCGATGTCCGTCGGTGATTGGCACTAGATTGCGGAACAGAGACCGACGTTAAATAAAGGAAAGAAATCATATATTTGCGTGCGAATTTATCCGCAAAAACAACTTTAAATCTGCCAGTGATACCTCCTCGAGCCTTCGCTTTGTAAAATTTTGGTCCTGAAAGCTGTCCGAAGACGGCCTTTACATCATCTATTAGTATGCACCCAGGGGACTTGGTCAGCAGGTTGTCATACAGCTTTCGAGCATGGATTCTAGCTACGGTATTCTGCTTGAGTGATCAATTTGGTTGCCCACTGGCGCGGTATGCCTGTAAGCCTTCGCGGTAGCGAATTCACTGCACTGTACTACGGGCGGCATAATACTTTTTCCTCAAATTGCGATTGGACAACCCTGGATTGCTTCTGATGGACCTCACGACCTTTCCATGGAACTGACGGTTGGCAGTTCCACTCCGGTGTTTACTTTAAGGCTTCCGATTTGTCGTCAAGGTTTCCCTGTAAGTTTTAAGCATGCGCTAAACGATGTTTCTAGGAAAATTCAACACTTTAGCCAGCTTGGACGCGGACCACGATGGATTTTCCAACAAATAGACATCAAAAGCATTCGATAATGTCCACTGGGAGCACTGTAATAAGCAAACGAGTTTGTTCCATTACTAAGAGGGCCATGGTTTAGAGTCGTACTCCTCAACTTTTCCAAGTAGGGTAATCTTTTGGAATTGCTGCACTGGAAAATATGAAAAATTATATACTCATAGGAAAGGTAAATAACACTGCCAAGCGATTGAAATTAATATAGCATTATTTATGATTAACAATACTTCAACAAAAATTTTCAATTCGTAAATTATTCCATTTTTACAACCTAAATTCTACACGTCGTAGACCTCAGATAAGCTATAAATATAATGGAACACTAATGGTTTAGAACTGCCACCCCTTCGACCAACTGCCTTTGTACGCCACTGCCGCAGACCATCTGCTATTAATATAAATCCGCTTATTGTGACATGCTGTTAAATCGATAAATTACACTATCATTCTTTTAACCAAATAGTTTCATAAGAGGAAATCTCTTCTTATCCTCTCGTCGCTCAACCCGCAATCTCCGTCCAAAATGCGTCCGTTGGTTCGCAGTACCAGTACGATGTCGCTCGTGCCAGTGCACTACCGCAGCTGGTGGGATGACTGGGATCTCCCGCTCTACTCGCGGGTGATGGAAAAATCCGTCACCGAGGAGGTCCTCAGCGAAGATCCACTGTGGTGGCGTCATGCTCCGATGCCCCCGCTACGTTGGTCCAGCTTGTGGCGCCCGTGGAAGTATTTCAGCCTGCGGGACGTCGGTTCCCGGGTGGACTCGGATCGGGAAAAGTTCATGATCGAAGTCGACGTCCATCAGTTTGCCCCGCACGAGGTCACCGTGAGGAAAACCGACAAGTATGTCACCATCGAGGGCAAGCACGAGGAGAAGCGTGACGAACAGGGCTACGTCTCCAGACAGTTCTCGCGGCGATATCTGATTCCAAGTAAGTAGACCTACATATCTGTGCCAGTGGAAGCGACGGCTTCTTGACGTTGTTAGTATAGTTAGGTATAGGTTTGCCTTTTTTGTTTTGCTGCCGCTGCTGTAAGGCACGGGTAACGTTTGGCAGTCACGCAACACTTCATCCGATAATAATTCGATGCAGACTGTCTTATAAACGGGTATGAAAGAAATCGTTCCGATTTTAAATTCCCACACAGACTATATCAAAATGTAAATTTAGAACTCCTGGCACGGGTGCAACAGTAAAGAAAGCTATGATAGTAATTTTCCGGTAAGAAAGCTTTTGACTCTAATTATGAGGGAAATCAATGGCCTAATAGTAATTTTAAGGAATTATTCTTGAATTTTGCGTGACGTTCTTAATGGATGCTCCCTGAATAGTTTTTAAAATTGATTGTTTTACTCACTTACTGTATCTCGTTCTCCACAGTTGGCTACGATGCAAACCTGATCGTATCGTCGCTCTCCTCGGACGGAGTCCTGACCGTCACTGCCCCAAGGATCGGACTGCCAGCTCCAAAGGTCGAGAAGTTCGTCCCCATCTGGCACACCGGCAAGCCTGCCATCGAGGATAAGAAGTAAAACCCACTAGCAACCTTGAGTCCTGATATTGTCCATATCATCACCAATGAAAACAAACCAAAGATCTAACGAAAAAGAAGCATCAATATTTCCATAAAGCTGCCTACATATCGGAATCGATTTGAGCCAAAATTAGACCCAAAAACAACCCTTATTCTGATTTCTGTCCGTGGCAAAAAGAAGATGGGAAGCATTTTTTGAACCATCGGTCTCTGTATTTAGTTGTTTTTATTACCCCACTGTCTAGGTGCAACGGAATCGATTTGTTGATCATTGTGTTTTGTTTGCTCTTTTTTTATTGTTATAGTTTTCGTATTGGATTCTACTTGCATTAGATTTGTTGTGGCACCTTGCAATTCAAGTTCGACACTCACCTTGAAAACCGCGACTAGCACCCCAGAAAAATAAAATAAGCATAACAAGAAGAACAGCTCTCACGTGGCACGACACGGCCGCACACGATAGAAACGCTATCGGTAAGGTATTGACAGAATTGAAACCGCGAGGCCACCTTGTGATACACAGCAGATAACCAACAAACGCGAACTTTAACATCTCCACACCATCACCACTAAAGATCATGGCTAAGGGGCACTTTGAGCGAGGTCATCGGGGTTGTGAGATATAGATTTAGAATCGAGGTAGCGATCCGAAATGACCTATTATAGCTGGCATGTGGCACAAAATGTGATTCAGTAGTGTTCTAATTCTAGATGAGAGACTTTATTGATACCTTCGATTGGAACAGTAACAGAGAAATAAACGTCACGTTTTCCGAAAAACATCAATCAATCGCATTCGAATCACTGTCTATCACAGCTGCCCTAGTTTTCAAAAAATGTTGCATGCCAATAAAGCAAAGTGTGAATGTGGAATTCAGTAGGCATATCAGGGAAAGGTGTTCGTTAGCTACGGAACGTTGTCTGTCTTGTTAAATTCCTTTCACGATACTATTCTCCTAGTGCTTGTCAGAGCATTAGAACCATCTGGGATATTCTTTTTTACTCAACTGAGCAATAGCTACTTTACTTCATATCTCAAACTCCTTGAAATATTGACTAATATATTTTGCGTGCTAGAAATTTTGGAACTCAAAGATTTTAAAATTAGAAATATTTTCAAGAGTCCGGCATATCGAGGAGATGTTTGAGAATTTGGTTAGGAATAGCCAATTAAATTTGATGGTATTTTTAATACAATTCGAGGGTTAATTCCAAGGGATTATGAAAAGGAATTTTGAAAGGAGCTGCTCTTGATGCATTATAAGGCAAACTCAAAGATAGTTCTGACGATGGGGATTGTGAGAAGAATTTCAAAAAATTTCTTCGGCTTTCTGAAGTGAATTCATATTTTGCAATCACAATCAACAGCTTCCTCTCCTCTGTCTAAATAGTTTACCTAGGCAGACGTTAGTACCAGCAGCGAGCGAGTTAGTATAAGATAGAATGAGCATACAATTTCTGGATAAATTTCACTACCATAAGCAATCGATAATAATTCGGTAGTTATGTAAACTGCAAAAAAAAAATCTAGTGAAATTATGAAGATAATTCCAAAATAATTAGAACGGAGATTAAAAAATATCTCACGAAGTTTTCCAAGGGAACTGAATTCTGAGTATAGGAGTATGTTTTTAGATGGAGTTTTGAATCGAATAAAAAAAACTGGATGTATTCCTTAAAAATTCTGAGAATAATTATAGGGGAATTCCGCAAATAATTTATTTATTCTATTCTGCGATTCTATGGATAATTACAAGCGGAATCTAAGAGGATTAATTTAAAAAAATGGGAGCATGTCCCAGGGAATTCCAAGGAGCATTCCAAAGAAATTGGTGGGAATACTTAGGGAAGACTGAGAAGAAATTTTAGAAATTTTATGAGAAATATTTCTTGATTCTTCTAACGCAGGTTTTTATGGAATTTTTGAGAGAAGTAATAAAAATGCCAACTTAATTGTAGATTAAATTCTAATAGCTTCTGATCAGTATTTCTGAAGTGAATCCCTAGCTAATTATGGGGAAATTTTTAAGGGAATATCAAAGATAATCCTTCATTTATTCTAGGTCTTCGCTAGTATTTTATAATCACTGACAAACCGACATGACACTTAATCCTGACTTATGCCCGAAAATCGTAAACGGCCGATTTAAATGTGCAGTGATCTGAATTTTCAAAACCACAATTTTTTTTTTTTATCTAGATAAAAATAATTTGGAAATTATAGATCAGGCACGAACCAATTCATAACTTTTGCATTCGGGTTCATGACATAGCTCAATATTTCCCGCGAACACGGAGCCAGATGTCAGTAGTGTGCTTTGGTCAGAATTTTTTTTGTTTTTCCTATGGTCATTCATGTTGGTTTGTTGGTGTTATCATGCCTCTACTAGTTCTCTTATACTTACAATAAAGTATAGTAGATTATAATGTTCAACCAATATCAGATTCAATTTAAGTATTATCGTCAATCTAAGCAGCGTCTGTGCTTCTACTAGCATTTTCTCAGCGTCACGCACACATGTGATGTGTATCTTTGTTTACATTTATCTGGTGATTGCTTCTTTATCCATTCCAATCGACAAAATTGTTCAAAACTGTTTGAAAACGATTTTACAACGTTCCCAACTTCTCAGGTGAGTGTGACTATTGTCGGCAGCCTTTCCATTGAATTGAACTGCATGTTAACTAACTGTTCTATTATCATCAATTCGAAATCAGCAGCATTACTTTTATTAAAAGCTTTATAAACGTTGATTGTCTTCCTGATTCAGAACCAAAAGTTTTATCTAATAACCCGGAGATGAACCACACTGAAACAAATCGACATGTACCGTTTATTGGATCCATCTTATAACATAGCAATGTCAGCAGATTTATTCATTCTATGTGATGATTGATAGATTCCATTGGATTATCACTTAAAAGCTATGACTGCGATATGGAATGATTTCTATCGTAATTTCACATACTTGGTACTTGATAATACTTTGCTTCGAACGTGGTTAGCGATAGGTAATAAGTATATGAATATTGTCTGATATATTTCATGGTGAAAAACTGTTGATATGTCATGGGTGGGAACAGACATCTAGAAACTAATGAAAAATCATATAAGTTTGCACTATGAGAAAATCCAGTAAAATATACCTGTTTTCATGATGAATATTGCTCACTAAAATGTATATCTTATAAGATAATAATGATTTTTGACGTTTGTTGATATGTCGCGTGTAAACAGACATGAAGAAACTATTGGACTGTCATTTAACTTTGCAGTATAGGAAAACATGTATATCTCATTGGAATAGCTTCCTTTGATTTTTGAGGTTTAAAGATTGTAAACAGATCCATCCCAATCATTTAATAGTCATATAGATATGCCTTTTAAGAAATCCAACAGCAAACGTTTGTTTTTGCATGTTTTTCTGGGCTGAATATCGCTCCCAATAAAATACATCTTACATGATTGTTCTTTATAAATTATTGAAACAATTTTCAACGATGTTATCGTACACTCATTAAAATGATTAGTTGAACTAAATACTACTATCAACAATGATACTGTATTGAATAATCTTTGTTTGTTTCCGGAAAAGAATGTATTGAGATTGAAAAAAAAAATGATTCTACTGCAATATTTACTTTGCTATGATTCTAATTGTAAGCCTTCTACACGGCTAATTCAGATTCCAGCCCTAGTACTCGAACTTCATGAACCAGTTACATCAACTTATATAATTTAGTCGTTGATTTATTGCACACAGGTGCATTAAGAAAGATTTGAACAAACCACACCACCGAAACGGAACATAAATTTGTCAGTGCTATTTGTCTTCACTCTAGCAAAACGAGCATAACGTTGCACTGCATTCCATGTCGGGAGAGCTGTTCTTACTTCATGCTATTTGAACGAGCTCAATCTTGAAGTCAGTCGTGGCCCAGTGAAATCGAGCGCAGACACCGAAAGCATCACACCTCAACAGTCCTTGATCGAATCCCAAATCAGCTACAATAAAAAAAAGGCACAACTGTGAAAACTCCCACTTCCTGATGTTTATTTTTCGATTTATTTTTAAAAATCGATTAAATATATGTGTCAAAAGAAGAAGTAAATTTCATGTGATTTTCACACAAACTTTACTTCGATTGATTTATGACACATATATTATATTGTGGTGAAAAGTGTAGCTTATGCTTATGGGTTTCAAATCCATTTCAGTTAATTATTATAATTTGATCGATTTTCATTTATCATACGACGATCATATAAAAGTTACCAAATTATCAGCATTGTAAATGTATCAGATATTCATATAGAATTTACCTGGCACATTTTCAATCATATAATTTTCAATGGATTATCTCATAGCGCAAATTTATAAGATTTCCACATAACAGGAATATGTCATATTGGTTCAGTGCAGCGTCTGGCTGAAAATCTCCTTAATAAAGACAACCAATCAACCAACTAACCAACCACCTAATAACAAACTGAACTAATGTAATTTGCACATACATTAACGCTTTAATTTGACTGTTTTCAGTTGTTGCTTTATTTGACGTCTTATAAATGCTTCTAGCTCCATGATTAGATTTCATTGCATTGCTTTACAATATCGCTGTATAAAGGTGAATACAGTCTGCAAAATAGCTCTTATACCAGTATGCGTCCATGTTTTAAATGCATGCTTTGTAAATGCTATATAAACGACGTATTAGATTCATTATTCGACAACACTGATTCAGTCTAACAATAAGACGAAATCAGTAGAGTAGTGGTTACCGTTTCCGCTTTCCAATTAGAAGGTCACGAGTTCAATGCCAAGCTCAGCCCTTTTTTATTTGTGTTCTAAATCTTTATCATCGATCATATTACTCACGACAACAAATTCATTGATATAGTTCAATAAATACCCCAGCAACCCAGAAGAGGTAGAATTGGTCCCATGTTAAACAACGATGAATGAATTAATGGACTGGACCTTGAAGGAGCTAGAGTTGCGATCGGGAGTGCTGATAGGTTTTCAGTTTCAAGTAAGCATTTATTGAATATTGAGCAGCCCATATGATGTATTCTAGGATATCTCAGATGACAAGGCAAGCGGCTGGTGATTGGAAGGTACATCGTTCGAATCCCATGCAACGGACATGTATATGTATGCAATAAATTTTCGTCAGAAATATGAAAACAATCACTAGAGAAAAGACTACTCTGTCTTGTTGTCTGCCTTCTACCGTTCTTTATTTTCGGGTTAAATTTCCAACAGTTGTGAATAATCGTTTAATAAATGTATAATAGTGTCTAATTTAAACTCGTTACTTGACATGACAATCAAGCGTATACATCATCTCTGTTTAAGGAACAAAGATGTCCAATAAACGCTGAATAATAAAACATTTGATCTTACAACTCATGGAAGTCGACTAAAAGCTTCTCAACATACCTTAACCAACACCATGTTGTGGTTGAATAAATTCTCCAGATTTGTGTGAACAGAGCCTGAACAGAAGTTAAATTAGTAAAAATTGTACAAGTATTATTAAGCATGCAGTTGAATAAAATTGTCCTTCCCTTAGCTCAGTCGGTAAAGGTACAGCTACAAAGCAAGACCATGCTGGGTTCGATTCCCGGTCCGGTCTAGGAATTTTTCAGGTTGGAAAATTTCTCGACTTCCCTGGGCATAGAGTATGATTGTACTTGCCACACAATTATACTAATGCAAAAATGGTACAGGCATCGAAAGCTCTCAATTAATAACTGTGGAAGTGCATCTAGAACACTAAGT